TTTTTCCTCATTCATATTCACTGTCCCACTGAATTCTATCCATGAGCCTGTGGACCCAGGTCAAGAGTTCTCTGGTCTAGAGAATAAAGTTCGAAATTCTTGAAATGTAACTTAAGGCTATCAATACTCTGACCCTTGCCTCCTTCTTCATTTTTCATTAATTCACTTAATAAAACAGTGATGGAGTTTGGATGTGTTGTCCAAAACTCATGTGGAAATTTGATCTCCAGTGTGGCAGTGTTGGAAACTGATTGAGTCATGGGGGCCGATCCCTCATGAGTGGATTAATGCTCTCCCTGGGGGACGGGGGAGTAATGAGTGAGTTCTTGCTCTATTAGTTCCCTTGGGAGCTCATTGTTTAAAAAGACCCTGGCACATTCTCTATCTCTCTTGCTTCCTGTCGCCATGTGATCTGCTGTACCCGCCGGCTGCCTGCCACTTTCCACCATGAGTAGAAGCAGCCTGAGGCCCGTGCCAGATGCAGCTGTCCCAGAATCATAAGCCAAATAAACTTCTGTCCTTTATAAATTACCCAGTCTCAGGTATTTCTTTTATAGCAACACAAAATGGACTAAAACAAACAGTAATTGAACCTACTATGTACCAGGCATCTGCTAGGCACTAAGGATACAGAAGTAGATAAGACAGTTGATTGATCCCTGCCTTCATGGGGCACCTANCTGATTCTTACTGGTAACAGTCCCAGGCCCTGCTAATTCTACTGCTGCATATTGCCTACATTTATCATTGAAAGAAATGCAAAATACCAGTTGGATATCAGTGGAAATGAAGATGTGATTTTTCCTCATTCATATTCACTGTCCCACTGAATTCTATCCATGAGCCTGTGGACCCAGGTTAAGAGTTCTCTGGTCTAGAGAATAAAGTTCGAAATTCTTGAAATGGAACTTATGGCTATCAATACTCTGACCCTTGCCTCCTTCTTCATTTTTCATTAATTCACTTAATAAAACAGTGATGGAGTTTGGATGTGTTGTCCCCTCCAAAACTCATGTGGAAATTTGATCTCCAGTGTGGCAGTGTTGGAAACTGATTGAGTCATGGGGGCGGATCCCTCATGAGTGGATTAATGCTCTCCCTGGGGGACGGGGGAGTAATGAGTGAGTTCTTGCTCTATTAGTTCCCACGGGAGCTCATTGTTTAAAAAGACCCTGGCACATTCTCTATCTCTTGCTTCCTCTCTCTTGCTTCCTGTCGCCATGTGATCTGCTGTACCCGCCGGCTGCCTGCCACTTTCCA